TATATATATATATATATATATATATATATATCGTATAAATTTGAATAATTAACAATAGCTACTTCATCCATATTTTGAATAAATTAAATTGTAATGAAAATAAATACTATTATAGTATAAATTTGATTAATAAGACGTTTACTATTGCGCTCGCTTTTCCGCGAGCTACACGTATGATCATTCATTCATTCATTGACCCTTTGAGAGATGTGTTCGCACAGGGGTTATCATGTATGCAAGAAACGTACGGTTGCATCGTGTGCGACCACATCAATCTGCATTCGAATCTCAAAGAGATTTTATTTCTCTTTCTCTCTCTCTTTCTCTTTCTCTCTTTATCGAGTATTATTCGTTTTCTCATTTCCTCTTTTGTTTGCACCTCTCGCACTTTCGGACACCCGCAGACTTAAGCGGATGGTTCCTATTAAAGCCACGCCGGTATTGTATTCAAATTGGTTCGAGCTTTTGTGTCTCACCACTTTCCACCCCCGCAGCACTCCCCTTCACCTCCACCTTTCTTCTTCTTCTTCTTATTTCTGTTCTTTGCTTGTTAAACTCCCTCAAAAAAAAATAAAAAATGAAATAACAAAAAAAATCGTATCATTCTTAATTGTAAATACTTGAAATTGAACGAATTCAACCCCCACGATTACATTTTCAAAGTAAATGAGAACGATTTATAAATCTCGAATCAATGTGTGCGTATTATCTCGAATTTAGATGAAATTTACTCCCTTTCGTTTATTCTTATCTAAAGAAATTCATTTGGTAAGATCCCTTATCCCACCACCACCACCATTATAGTGGTTGATAAATTCAGCATCCGCTTCGAGTTCAATCCTCGCGAATTGTTTCGAAGAAAAAACTCACGCAACTAATTTGACAAATTCGGACAATTGCGTAATTCCAACGAAAAAGAGTACATTGACCGTCTGGAGTTTGCTTGTTCAGGGTGTAGGGGGGTAGGGGTTAAGAGGTCTTTTGTTAATCCAGAGGGGAACCACGAAAAAAACATCGAAACTAACTCCACTGCGCATTGCACTTTTACTGCAATTACATTGCACATTGCGTTGCCACCTTTCTTTTGATTTTCTTTTTCATTTCTTATGCAGACAATTTTTTTTTTTTTTTTATAAATATTATATTATTATAATAATCTTTCGTGTTTAGGTTTATTTCTTTCTCTCTCTCTCTATTCGTTTTTTTTTTAATTTTTCTTCTTCTTTTAAACATCAGAATCTATCCTCCCCCCGCATGTTGGCAGTTGCGTCACGTCGCGGCAAACTACAAAGCATTGCGTTTGTTCACCACCTTGCCCCGTACCCTTCCTTCTCTTTATCATCCTCCTCCTTCTTCCTCCTCCTCCTCCTCCTCCTCCTCCTCCTCCTCTTCCTTCTCCTCTTTAATGCAGTCGAGCAATACTTGCATACCTACTTATTTCGTACTTGCGGCACTTGGACTCTACTATTGCACAGAGACCGCACACGCGCCATGCATCCTATACCACAAGTGACTACTTGATGCGATTTCAAGATGTTTAAAGCTTTGTTCATTCGGTTGATAAATTTATTTGAAGGGTTAACTGTGGATATATATTGTCATCCTTTTTTATTTTTTAATCACGGTGTTTTTATATATAAATGTTTTTTTCAATTACATTTTGTTTATGAGTATTTTTTTATTGTATTAGTAACACTTGGTACAGTGTATTTTATTATTTTATATTAAATTACATGATTATAATATGAGGTTTTAGGGTTTTGTGATAACAAAGATTAACATTATTTTAATTTTTAAATATTTTATTAAGTTTTATTAAATATTTTTCCTCAACCTTTTTCTATTTTTCTACGTTCAGAATTAGAAATACTTTTGGTATGGTACATACGTGATTATATTTTTTTATTTAATTATTAAATCGTGTATTATTTCAAAGTTGATAGATAACTGCATATAAAATATCTTTGTTTTTATTTTTTTAATTAGGGTTTTTATTATTAATCATGGTTTTTATAGATAAACGTTTCTTCACTTACATTATTTGTTTCTCAATAATTTCTTATTATATTAGAAACACTTTGTACAGTGTATTTTATTATTTTATATTAAATTACATAATTAAATTATTTATTTTTAGAGTTTTGAGATTAGAAGAAACGTTGTTTTAATTTGTTCAATTAAATATTTTATTCTCAATCTCTTTCTAAAAATTTTGAAACACTTTTGATACTAACGAAATTATATTGTTTCATTTAATTATTGAATTGTATACTATTGCAAAATGTTAAGATTGTGAATTGCACTTTAACACTATATCCCTTTATAGATGTTTTAAGCACGTGCTTATTTCTATCTTTCTCTCTCTTTCTCTCTTTCTCTCTTTCTCTCTTTTTCTTTCTCCTGGTCATCGTCTACAAATTCGAGTCGCGAACTTGCGTCGGCATTATAGACAAAGGATTAATAAAGGAACGTTAGGCCATGCACGATCGTGTCCGGCCTTTCTTCACGCACGCTTTTCTTTCTCTCTCTCTCTTTCTCTCTATTTTTTCTCTCTTGAATAATATTTCCGATATGCATCCATCGTTCGATAGCATATCGATTTTTTTTCTCTCCCTAGTAGGGTCACTCCCTCCCCCATCCTTTATTCTATTTTTTTTTTTTATATAACTGTTCGTTTTTTTTTTCGATTAGTTCATTTCTTTCTTAAGTCTTATACGCGGTTTTAAAAGTGGCAAATGCGGTGACGTAGGATCTTCAATTATACCCCCTTCCTTCCCCTTTATCCATCATTCTTCTTCCCTTTTCCCTTTCTTTCTTTCTTTCTTTCTTTCTTAATCTTTTTCTCTTTCGTTTTATCTTTTAAAGACAAGAGAAACTCCTCGTCGATTCGTTAAGTGCACAGACTACTACCGAGAATCTGAGGGGATTTCTTAATTACGTTGTGTCTGGGGGAGTAAAACGATCATAAAAGCCGACACGACAAAAATTCAAATATTCGGCATCTTAAATTGACAAAATTTTCCTTTAAACGATTTTATGCGAAAGGTTCATTAATATGCAATCCCCTACACGTTGCATGTGTTGTCCTTGTTGTTGTTGTTTTTGTTATTTTTATGTGTTGTGTACATTTGCATTCAAAATCATAGTAGTTGCACATGATTAAACTTTTGATTTCTCTTTTTTTTTTTTTTTGGTTTTTTCAAAATCTATAATTTAAGAAAAAAAATAAAATAATATTAATAATAATAATAATAATAGTAATGATTAACGTTTCGCGTTAGTTTTATCGACCAATTCGACCTAACGAATTGTTGGCTATGACTGTTGCAGGTTAATCGGCCATTGACGATGAAGAAGGAAGGAATACAAACGAGGAATAGAAAACTATCGTCAAAGAGTAAGAAGAAGAAGGCAGGTAGTTGTCTAGGATTGGGTGGTGTCATGGGTGATGTCATGATCAAAGCTGGTGGACACATTGATCTTGACAACAAACCTTTCCATTCAGGATTTGGATCACCTATGGGTAAGCATTAAATCAACATTTTTATTCTTATTTAATTATATTATTTTTTTCTTATTCCAATCGATGCTTTTGCTTTTTCCTTTTTTTTCATTAAATTAAATTCGATATCAAAAAAAAAAAAAAAAATTCTTTAATCTTCTATTTATTATTTTCATGTTATTAGAAAAATTATATATATAATTTAATATAATATTAGTATTATAATTGTAACATTATATATAATATTTTTTTCAAAATCTAAAATTTTATATTATTATTAAAAAAAAAATATATAAAAAAAATAAAACATTCAATATATATATTTTATTTAATATAATATTATTATTATATTAAATAAAATTAATATTACAATTATAATTATATTTTTATATATTATATAATTTTTATTTTATATATATATATATAAAATTTATATAACAATTAAAATTTTTTTTTAATATTATATATTATATATTATTAAGTTTTTTATACAATAATTTATATTATAATATAAAAATTTTTATATTATATTAAATAAAATTAATATTGTAATTATAATTATATT